TTTTGCATGTTGTCTGAGAGCAACACCCTTCCCACAGGACGACTTTTAAACCACTTCAAATAGCCATGCCTGGTACTAAGGTTTAATAAAGCCATCATGGTTTGTTGTTTTGTCTGAACCTGGGCAACAAATTTAGCCATGGTCAAGTCAATAAATCAGAGGCCCTCTTGGCAAGAGCAGCAGAAAGACTTGCCACTCTAGCCTTAGAAACTAGGAGCACTTGGGAACAGCTGGGAAAGGTTTCCACTACTCCCTGCTAGCAGGAGTAGGGATACTTCAAAACTTGGAGAAATCTCCATGCAGAGAGGCAGGCTTGTCCCTTTAAACCACAAGCCTTGCACCCCCTCATGGATTTCCCTCAGGTTTTCCACTTCCCAGGGTGCTAACCACACAAGTTAAATTGTAAAACTGAGTGGACAGTTAGGGCTTCCTACTGCCCATATAAGCTCTGGTGGTCCTGCTTGGAAGAGGTGGAAATTGAGGGGATGTCCCCCCAAACACCTTGAAGGAAGGGGGCTGGGGTGGCTCTTATGCCATTCTGTTATCCACACTTGAGAAAGCATGGGCTTTCCACACACTCTTGACTTTTTAAAAATAGTTTAAAGAGTTAGAAGTGGGATACCAAGTTGAAGTTTGGCATATATGCAAGGTCCATGCTGTCAAGTGTCCAAACTAAATTGCAATACTTTTTTTTTCATTTTTCTAAGGTGGGGGTATGCACAGCTCCCTTTGTAGCAGTATCCTCAAGGGAGGGTGTGTGTGGAGAGGGTTCATGTGTCTTTGGGCTGCCTCGTTTTCCCAAGTGTGGCTTACACAGAGGCACTTTTTGAAAAGTCAAGTCACAGCCAGCCCTAAATGGTTTGCTGCCACACAGGTGGGATCCTGCAGGAGGAGTCACTGAGGGAAGACAGGAAAGAGGGAAGGAGGAGGGGGCCCACAACCTCTGCTGTGCCTGATTGTCTGTCACATACAGAAGAATTTCAACCACATTCCATGGTTAAAATTCCCAAGGGGTTTTGCATGTTATGCGAACGTGGCCAGTGTCTTTGCTTTCTTCCCCCGCCCCTTTCACATTTTTCTTTGTGCAGGTCCCCCAGTCTGGATGAAGTCCTTGCACTGGGAGAAAGGTTTAACATCTGGATTGGTCCTCCTGTACCTACTCTAGAGTAAAGATAAAGACAAGACATTGTTGCTAGTCTAGGCACAGATTTAAAGTAATGCCATTTGGACTTATTTATTATATTTCTATCCCACCCTTTTTCCTTCCAAGAACTCAATGTGGCTTACAGAATTCTCCCCCTTCTCTCAATCTTATCCTCACAATCTTACCGGGATGACTGGGGAGTAGTTAGTTCTTAAGTTCTAATCTGTTAGAAAGCTCCACAACCCAAAAACGGTTCAGTCCAAGAAAACTTAAGCTGAAGAAGAATGTACCACATCCTGCCTTACAGGGATGTCCATACCAGTCAGACAAATGCTTCCATTCTCCACTCAAGTTAAGGAACTGCTCAGAAATAAGTAGCGCTGCTCATACCTAAGTATTCAGCTGCGTATGTTTGTTTAGTTTTGATTATTCAAGTACCTGTCGGCAAGCTATGCCTTGAGAATCCATCCCCTTTCCAGTAATTTGGAGCCTTGATAACAATATGATTTACTGCATGATTCATGACAGTGTCCAGGTTAGTTTGAGCCTCATTCTTTTTGGTCCGCTGTTTTGTGTAAGCCTAATCTAACCCATTGGTTTTCTCAGAGTTGGGATTCATTACGCAAAACCTGATTGATGGTCTCTGCTGAGCTATTCTCATGGGCAGCACATCTCCTATTATTCTACTGATTGGTGTCCAAGGAAAATCTTTCTTTGTCACCTTGAAAAAGAAGTGAGGTATATTTCCCAGCATTCTCTTTCTGTTCAAATTCAGCAATCCCTTAGGCAAGAACAAACCTTACTGTTACAAACAGCAAAGCATGCCATGTATCAAAGAATCAAACAGTAAAGTTAATAGTTTTTAAAATAAAATCACAGGCCTGAATACTAAATCTCTCACTGTACAGCATTCTCAATACAATGGGACTCTGAATTCTTGTAAAGGTTCCGAGCTGTTTCTGCTATGCTATGTGGGGGAGCTGCTCATAAAATTTTATAGGAGAGGAAGCGAGATGAGAAGGAGGAAGAGGAGGATGCAGATAGATAATACATGCAGTATGTAAATATTTCTAGGAACATACTGCTATCAGTTTGGCAATAGCAATGAACTGATCTACCAAGAAATCAGTGTGAGTGTGAGTGTGGATGGTGGGTGGGTATACTGAACACTTAAGTATGTGGGATTGAATTGTTTTTCTGTCTGGGATATGTTCCCTGATACGTACCTGCCCATGTCTTCAGATAGGCAGAGAAGGGTTTGCTTAACATTTTGTCTCATGTCCTAGTAAGAATCAGGAAGGCACAGAACTTTTAAGTTGTGACAGACATGCTCTGATGTTCCCTACCAATAACATTTCAACTGTCCCCCTTCCTGTGCTATTTTCACCATCATCTAAACCCTTTTTTAAAAAATCTGTGCCATTTTCTAATTTTTGCTCTTTTCCAGTTTGGCCCGTGTTGATTGGTTACTGCTATGAAAAGCTTTGATCTTTTACTATCTTACTTTTTGTTTTAGTGAATGTCATGTTCTACCCCTTGCTTTGTTGGAAAATATGCCTCAAGAACTTCATGAATAAAAGTTTTAAAGTTTAGACCACTGCTTTATCTTTAAGATTCAGCTTTTCCACAAGCAGGAAAAACCAACACAAAATCTCTCTTGAAAAGATGTAAGTCCCAAACATTGAAATATGCCGTTCCATATTACAAAAGATTTTAAAAATCAGCCTTTTTAACTCTCAAAGATTCTTGAATTACAGCTGCTGCACAGTTCTGCAAAAACTATGGAAGAACATTAAGCAAGTGGAGATGCTGTTCCTCATTGCTTATTCCTTGTGAGTTCCTTCACTTAAAACACACACACACACAAACCCTCTTAAAAATGAATACTCCTCCCCAAATGCAAATATACTTGACCAGCCCCTAATAGAATAAAAAAAGCATCCTTGTTTAGCTTTGCACCTGCTGAAGCCCCTGAGGCTCCACCTCTCTGGGAACTTGTGAAACAATCTGGGAACTAAGCCAAAATCCACACTTCTGCTATATAAGAGTCATCCAAAGACAGGTGCCTCCTCAGAAGCCTGTCGTTCGGTACATGTTACCGAACTCCAGCCAAGATGGGGACAGGCAGGGGGGAACAGACATCACTGTGGATACCATTGCTAGTGATCACCTTAACACAACTCAAAGGTAAGGAACTTTAACAGTGTTTCATTCCTGTGCATACAGCTGATGCCCAAATTCGCTAAGGTCCAAATGACCTCATGGTACTCTTGCTTGTGTTGCCCCATTAAATCTAATAAGGTCTTCAAACACATGAGCTGAGCCCTGTGTTTTCCTATTACCCGTGCCTCCATTCTAATCCATGTGCATCCAGGATTTATTGCCATCATACCCAAAATAAGTGTGCAATAGATTAAAAGTAAACATGGTTGATGAAGTAGATGTAATCTAAAAGATATTGAAAATTGGCTCCATCTTTTTATGTTCCTACCTTTTGAGCAGGGCAGGGGGTTAACACAAATGGGGTTTGTAAAATGTGAATACAGAACGTTACCAACAGGATGGGTTAATAGGAGTGTTGTGTGGATTCCTTGCGATGTCTTACGATTTCACTCCACTGGAACTGCAGCCTAAATTCAGTTGGATAAGTAGAGGCTCCCGAACAGGAGGTTTCTGCCAGCTTGGCTTAGTTCTATAAAACAGAACTGAAATATTCCAAGATATGGGACACACCTGCTATGTGACAATTCTCTGAAAGAAAAATATCCTTTAAAAATAAGGCAGCTATAGCAACCGTACACATGGATCCTTCTTTCCCCATAATGAGCACCTCTCACAGAGACTCATTTCAAATGGGCTTTGAACACTAGATCCACTCACATTTATTAGCCACAGCCTACAGAAAAAGTAGGTAGAAGCTGCAAGTATTGAAACAACAGAACAATAACTATTAAAAACTGAACCAAACCAAACCCAGAGATAATTATGTCGTTGAAGCCATCCATAGATTTGTTTCAGTAAATCTCCCCACTACTGCCTTTCATACTCTAAACAATTGCAAATGCCTAACTGAATATTTTCCACCTACAAATACGATCTCTTTTAATCAGTAAATATGCTGAATAGTATTTCACCTCAGAGCAGCTGATGTAGGCTATATGGAATGCACTACATTGCCTTAGTTAAGATGCTATCTCGTGCCCATTTATACTGGAGTAATAGCATAGAATTAAGTGCTGTTGTTACAGGGAGAGTTGTACATGGTTTACATGTGCGTGTAAGGAGTTGTAAAGTCCTCCAAGAAGTACCAGACAAGGAAGATGCCACGAGTTGATTCTGTTTTGATTGCTATGATTCTGTTTAAGCACAACGACAAAAGCAACAGCAAAGCTTCACAGCAGCACTACATACAAGTGCAAATAGGTTTTGTTTATATCCATTTGATTTATTGGCAATTTGTCAGATGCAATGATCCAGTAATGACTTGGTAAGATGTAATGTTCAGCTCCAGTCAAAGGCTCCTTCCACTGGATTAGGCTGGCAATTCACAGGCAGCTCAGTGAAGATGACAAGACAGGAAGAGCAGCAGTGAAAAGACAAATTCCATCACAGGGCTTATTAAGAAATGGATCGAAAATAAAATACCTGGCAGCGTAGCATCTTTACAGAAATCTTCAGTGTAGCTGCACTCAGAATGCTGCACAGTTCTGAGGCCACCACAGTTCTGAGGCCACCACATCTCAGGAACAGGAAAGAGCAACCAAAATGATCCACAGGTCAGAGCACTTACCATATGAGCAAAGACTAAAGTAGTTGGGGCTTTTTAGTTGTATGGAGGAAGGTGACTAACGGGTGAATGGTAGAGATGAATAAAGTTATGAATTGTGTGGCCACAGATAAATTTCCTACCCCTTCCTTGAATGAAATTAGCTGGTCACGGATTCAGAACAAGGGAAGAGAAAGTTCTTCATCTTTGCACAACCTCCAAGTAAGGAATTTGATTGCATAAGATTAAAGCATGGTCACTTCCTTATAAAGCTTTGAAAGAGGACTCGGAAAAAATATAGAGGACAGATCTACATGGATGTTCCACCAGACTATCATGGCTAATATTCACTGGGCTACCAGACATATTGCTAAAATGGAACACTTATGTTCAGAGGCAGTACAATTCTAATGCAACTGTGGAGAAAGGGTGGATGGCAGGAATGAGAGAGCCCTCCTGCCACCCAGTCCTATTTGTAGATTGTCTAGGAGCATACTATTGATCGTGGTTGAGCTCAGATGGTGCTAAAAAACATTTCTTGCTCTCATCAGGCAGAGCTGCTATTCTTCATGGTATTGGGTTCTAAGGAAGGGTGTGCAAAAGCTAAACTTTCACTTTTCAAAACATGATGAGCTACTACTGCCATAATGGAAATTGTTACTATGCTCTGAAGATCAGTTCATTCAGTCTGTAATCTGACATTGTATATAGGTCCAACAAGGCACACATCTGAAGTAACATTATGCTGTTGCATGAACATAGGATATCCATAATACTTCTATTTCAAGAACAGGTTGGATCCAGATGGGACACTCTGTGGGCTGGATCCAGACTTAGGCATATTTCAAATGGGCCCTTTAAAATCAGTGGGATTTAGATTAATCATGACTAAGTTGAGCCCCATTGATTTAAAGGGATTTTCTCATTGATCTCAAGGGATTTGCCTAAGTCTAGATCCAAACCTGCATGTTCATATGCTTGTACAGCTACAAGACATGCAACCACATGCTGGGTGTATGAATAGGCCTTGTTGCTCCACCATATGTAAAGTATCTTCAGATTGCAGATTGTGTGAAACAGACCTGGAAATCAAGAAACAATATTGTCAGTAATTGCTGGGAGAAAAGCATAAGTCAGTAGTATAGTATGTACATTATATGTAAAAGTCCCAGCTGCAATCTCTGGTATACCTAGTTAGAATTAGATGGATTTCTGGTAAAAGACCAATGGAGTGCCTATTCCTGGAGTAGTTATCTATATGACTAAATCTGAGTGAATTCAATTTACAATTGGGAGAACCACCTGAGCTTACTAGCATGGGAACAAATGGAACTGACATGCATAGCTCTCCTACATGCTACTTCCCACATCTGAAGAGCAGGATGGAGTCTTTTAAATAGTCTGGGATAACTTCCCCAGGTAATTTCTCATACTTTCTTCTGTTTTAGACAGCAACCCAAAATAACTATGTGTATCTGTGCACTTTTGAAGGAGGAGAGAGAAAGAAATTATCCCAGAAGATTCCTTCCTGCTTTGAATTCTGTAATTTAGTCAGATACTCCATTGATTATCTGGTGTTTTGTTGGCTGCCTTGGGTACAATTTAGTGGATAGGCTGGATAAAAATGTTTTAATTGTTTAATAGCCTTGGTGGATCTTGGGAGTTCACCATTCGCCACACTGTTACAGATCAATAGCTAAATGAAGTCCATAACCATTCTTGTTTGCTTTTGTAATTGTTACCACAGTCCAAGCCCAATATGACATTCCACAGTCCCAATATGAAGATCAGAAGTTCCAGTATGATGACCTGCAATCCCAGTATCAGGACCAGCAATCCCATTACGAAGACCAGCAGTATGACCAAACGTATGATGACTACATCTCTGTGCAGCAGCCACAAGACAGTAGGTGTTTTTAACCATAGTTGGCTAAATGGGCAGGTGCAGATGTTGATGGGTAGGATGGGATCACGGCAACCAGTCATGGGGAAAGAGCAGAACTGATTACTTGGCAGGAGCAGGTGGACACAATCTCTTCTCCTGTTGCAGGGAGCAGGGCAATGAGCACTCTGTCAGCATAGACACTTGTGTCTTTCTCATCGAAATGGGCAGCAGCACATGGGCAGAGAACATACAACAGCTGTGCCTGGGCTTTTCCCTACACTAAATGTCCCAGAGTGGTCTAGCATGAGAGAGGCAGAATCATGGAGTTGGGAGTAACATCCAAGGTCTCCAATCCCCTGCCAATGCAGGAAATCCACTATTGTAGTATCCCCAAGAGATGGCCCCTGAGGCTCTGCTTAACAATTGGCCAACTTTCAGAGGCAGTCTATTCCATTGGCCATCACTGCTCATACCATCAGAACATTCTTCCCAATATTTAGTCAGAAATCCCCTTTCCTGTCATTAGAGCCAACTGGTTCAGGTCATAGCAGCTGAAGCAACCAAAACCAACTGTGCAGCATCATTTCTTGTCCAGGAAACAGTGGGGGGCACAGAAATGTTGGCAGCACCCCAGATATAAACTGCTTGGCACAGTTTGGGAGTCAACGCTGGCAGGCTGCCACTGGGCTGAAGAATAGCAAATACTGGAGTAACACCTTAGCTACAGCCAAGCTCCAAGCTTTCAGTGTGTTTCATTTGGAGGCTGGCACAGATTAGAAGAGAAAAGACAACCTAATGGCAACAGATGAAGCAACCACAGTGGACAGAGGCAGGCATTGTCTGGCATAGCACATATGGTGAGCTATCAGCTTGCAGAATGTACTGGGAGTAGATTATGAGAATGAGAGAGAGGCAGAAGTCAACTGGTAGCAATAAAATCTGCGAGTGGTTAAGAAAGAAGAGGAGCAAAGTGTAGTCATTGGGCAGGAGAAGTTTGTAGTGCAGAAAGAGGTATGGGAGCAAAAGGAACAGCGCGCACCAGGATTTGGCAGGGTGCCATTTACCTGTTGCACACTAGTTTGGGAAACTCCAACAATGGCAGGGCAGCCTTCCAGACCACTAGGTGCTAGAGAAGGGAAAAATTTGGAAGAATGGAGACTAGGGGTGGGAAAGAAAACAGACTACAATTGAGAGACTTTTGACCAAAAGGGAATCAACACTGCATTAAAATATAACATGTAGGTAAAACTGAGTAGAAAGGAATGAAGCAGCGACACCAAATAAAAATGTGTGGGTTTGGAATGGGAGAGTCAGCAGTAAATGGAGACCAAAACAAAGCCTCTTGTAAGAAAGGTTTTCACAATGTTATCCCTCACCAGGACTGAGTATTGCCACGTTGAGGCATTATCATTACTACTATTACTGTCATTGTTCATTTCATTTCTGAAAGCGCTCTGGGTAGTGCACACAGCAATTCACAACATGTACAATAATAGAATAGATAATAACATACAGCAAAATACAGCGTAACATTCCAATATAAAATTGAAAAGGCTGGATGCGGGTGAGCATTACAGGGCAATCTAAGACTGATGTTGAGAAGTTGCAGTGTTGGCACCAGCTGGGCCTCAGGGGAGAGGTCATTCCGTAATGTGGGGGGGATGGGCATCACTGAAAATTCCCTCTTCTTTGTTGTCTCCCTCTGAGCCACCCTTTGAAGTGGTATTTGAAGGAAGGCTGCTGCTGTCAGTTCCAGCATCAGGTAAATTCAGATCAGGAAAGGTGTTCTGTCAGGTATTGTGGTCCCAAGCCATGCAGGGCTTTATCACTTAAAACCAGCACCTTGAATTGGACTTGGAAGCATGTCGGCAGGCCAGAATGGCTCTTAGTTGTTCAGACCTTCTTGTTCCAGTTAACAGTGTGGCTCCTGAATTTTAAACAAGCCGCAACTTCTGAACAGTCCTCAATGGCATGGAAGTTCCAGACACAGATGAAGAAAAGGATATGGTAGGGCTTTAGTGCACATGCCCAGGGATTGCTCAGGATCTCCGTTAGCAGTTGCCCAGGTGCAAGTATTCTTGCTTCCTCTGACTCCTCTTTCCCATAGTTTTGCCTCCCAGCCTCATGGCTGGTAACTTTGCAGCAATAAAAAAGCTAAACGAATATGTGTTTACTTCTATTTAGTTTTAGTTTATGCAGTAACTAATTGCTTATCTTATATCTGTACTTTTTTGTTTTAAAGTAAAAGTTGAGCCCTCCAAGTAACTAACATGGTTATCCATGAAAACATGTAGGACAATGACCGTAGATTCTCAGATAGTGTATACTGGATAAAATTCTGTTTATATTGAGATTATGTTCATTTTCATCTGCAACAGAGTACACAAAAACTAATACACCATGGAGATATCTAATCTAGAACTATATTTGCATAGAATAGGTGTACATATAGAGTCTGAGTGAGCATGGGTGTACAGGTGCTACACCCATGGTATTAATATAATACATCCCTTTTTATACTTACGCACAAATTCCATCCCTTCCAAATGCCTGCAAAGAAGACTCTGCATATCCATATGCTAATTTTATCAGTATGCATTCTTATGTTCCTGAGTAATTAGATAAAGTTGCTTACATCGCACGCAATAGCAGTGTCCCACCTCAAATAAATTGTATATCATCTATTTAGCTAATGTGCATCAGAACCCTGGGTTCTTTCAGCTAAAGTAAGAGCAACAATTTTGAGAGAACTTACAGGGAAGGGCAAAAATTAAAGAAATGTAGATAGAACCTGGGCATTATATAGCCAAGATCAAACACTTTTGAGGTCCCATAGAATTCAATGGGAGGGAATTAAGCATATGCTGTAGCATGCCTTAGTTATCAGCTTTCATTGCTTAGTGCAGATAACAGCCAGAATGATCTGGCCTAGGATTCCCCTTCTCGTAAGATTCAACATAATACAAATCAGATTTCACAATCTGTGTTAACAACAAACAATCTAAATTAAGAAATTTTCTTTAATTTAGAAATTTTGGCTTGTGTTACGCATTCAGAGAGGGCCTTGAAATAGTAATAAGTGGAACTTCAGCATTATTCACGGTGCTGAACTTCACCCCCAAAATAGCTTTTCTACCATGGAGCATCATGAAAAGCACCTAAAAAGCTCAGAATGAAAACTGCAATGGATTAGGAGCCCCACAGACAGAGGAATCACTCCCCTCTCCCACTTCCAAGGCATATAAAGACATAAAAAAAATAACAAGTCTTATGCTGGACATCCTTCATACATCTCCTCAGTGTCTCTTGTTGCAGAATACACAAGAGGCTGTTCTGGAATTTACCAAGAGTTTGATGCCCCAAGTAATATAAGTCAATTCACAGGAAAGTCCTGTGCATATGACCAGCCCTCAATCCTATGCTGATAAGATGGTCTGTAAGGGGAAAGGAAGGATCCTTCTTTCCCAGCATTCCTGGATGATGCTGTGTCCTGTGTGTTGCATAGGGTAGATACTTGTGTAAGGAAGCTGAAAGGGTTCCCTGCATCAGAACAAGTCTATAGTCAAATTTCAGCGTTGTCTCCATTCCTCATGCCAAACTCAGTGCAGTTACACAAGAGTACCACACTGTTATAAGGCTGTGTTCTTTGTCTTTGAGATGGTAAGATAATTCCATCTCAAGGTCTTTGTATGCACTTTCCACAATGAAATTGTCCATAGAACTTAGTCATAGTTTGCCAGCCATTGAAACAGGAATATATTTCCTCTTCCATTTATACTCTGTACCAAAGAGTTTGCTCTCTCTCCCATTGCATGCCTTTGCAAGAGGCTCTTGCATTCTGTAAAGGCGGAAAATAATAATCAGTATGGGTGCTTTTAGCTAGGAGGGGCTGGTATCAGATTTAACTATGTGAGCAATGCCTAATTACCTAAGAAAACTTGGCATCCTTTTAGTAAACTAGTGTTAGAATGGATACCAATTTTAACACTTATGACCTTTAATTTCTGACAAAAGTAATGGTGAGACATCAATAACTTTGATAGTACTTTGACAGAGATAAATCATCCTTACTTCCAAGTAAGCATATCAATAAAAAGAAAATCTTTGTATTTCCTTTTCATTAACAGTTATTTTATTTGCAATTTGGTGCCTATTTATTTGTGAATAAATGGACTTACTTTCAAGCAAATGCACAGAGGATGGGACTGTTAGTATCACAGAAAGATTGCTATCATTCTTACAACCTCTGCTGGAAGGATTATTTTACTAGCTGCTTGGTTTTCAATTCAGTGTTTTTATTTTAAAATGCTGGAGTCCAAAGTGCCAAAAGTGAGCAGAGAAAAGCAGAGCGATACTGAGACCCAAAGGCACCTTAGCATTAGAACTTTGTTCTAATGAGGGTTGGCGATATCTGACTCTCTTTTTGCAATAACATTGCAGATGTGCTTATTCCAGCTGCTGTAATAGCATCTCTTCCTTTCAGTTTTTTCTACAGTAGCTCCTGTGAGCCCTGTGTCCACCTTCCCTCCATTGAAAACAACTCTGGCTGTCAAGGGTAAGTAGGCCAAATTTCAAATCCATGTTTTTTAGCCTGGAATCTTCATACCAGTGACTTAAGCTTAATTCCATTCATTTCAGTGGGACTTCAGCAACAGTACTACAGCACAGGAGATGGAGGGACTGAAGTGTGAACTATTTAGCATGTTAGTTAAAAAAGGGGAGAAACACAGGAGAAAGGGAAAATACTGATGGGCCCAGAGGTGAAGGAACAGGTACAGGACTGAGGTCAAACAAGGGAATATTATGCAGAGCTCCTTTATAGGAATGTAGACGCAGAACGGGGCAAGCAAACTTTTCAACCACAAGAACTTTGGGTGTCCACTGGGTTGGGTTAGGAAGCCCACACATATACATTCACACACACACATTCACTTTCAACTAATTTACAGTATACCCCTGTGAAGTCACAGTTCAGCGTTCGCGGCTTCAGTCTTTCGCGGGATTTCTCCGAGCGAGTCCAGCCGATCTCCTTGCGAGTAAGCTCGGAGGAAACGATCTCTGCATGCGCCCACCCGTTTCCCTGCCTCGCCACGCGTGCGCCCGCCCGCCCGCGTCTCCTGCCCGCACCGCCTTGGCAGCCGGCACCCATCACTGGCACCAAATTCAGTTTTTCACAATTCGCAGGTGCTTTAGGAAAGTACCCCTGCGAATTTCGCGGGACTACTGTATACAACCCACACACACCATGAATATGCTCACTTACTCAGATCCAACTCCTATCCAAAATCATTTCGGAGGCCTAGATCCAAGCCTCCTTCCAGAAGTGCCCATTTTCAAACAGCCATCAAAGAATCCTGACTCCTGGCTCTTTGCTCTCCTCTGATCCATCGTTTTAGCTTCCCACGCTCTGTCACTTAGTTTTTCCCCCTAGGAACAAAGAGAGAGAAAATACTTTAGAAATTAGTTTGATAGTTCCTGCTATAGGATCCTTGGTATTAGAGCGTCTCAAGAATCACGCAGGACCCTTCAAGCATTGCTCCCTCAGGATGCTCCTATGAGGCACCTGTGATAGTCACCACAGGATCTGTTCCTAGAATCTTTTTCTGTTTTCCTATGGAGCCACCAGGGAAGGGCTGCACTTTCTGCACCCCCAATTTAGAAGATAAATTAAGAACGTGATTTTTGGTTGGATGGGTACACACATGGCTTCCAGGAGAGCCTTACAGATTGCTTTGCATCCACAGCTGGAAACGCTGCTCACAATGAGAGAGTGTGTAGCACATGGGGCAACTTTCATTTCAAGACCTTTGATGGAGACATCTATCGTTTCCCCGGGCTCTGCAACTATGTCTTTGCATCCAACTGCAAATCCAGCTATGAAGACTTCAACATCCAAATAAGGCGCTCTGTGGTACACAATACTACCGTTATTGGTCATGTGATCATGAAAATTGATGGAGTCACCATTGAACTGACCGTAAACTCTGTTATTGTCAATGGCAAATCGTAAGTTCCTTCTCTTGTGAGCATTCATATTTCTGTTATTTCACTGCTACAAACTCCAGTCATATTGTGGAAGGAAAGTAGGGTGACATGGAAGATTTGGCTGTTAAAAAGTTGACACAGATATTTGTGAGAAGTTATCTATTTGTCATCTTCACCATCAGTTGCAATTTGCTTTATTTCCAGTGAACAGTTGCCTTACAGCCATTTAGGAATCCTGATTGAGAGGAGATCAGGTTATGTGTATGTTGGTGCCAAGTTAAGCCTGATATTGATGTGGAACCAAGAGGATGGCCTTCTGGTAAGAATCAATTCCAGATATTGCAAGGAATTTAAAATTTGATTTTGGGAATTACTTGTTGGGTTTGCTTAAAGTGGCAGAGGGAAAAGATAATAGCAGCAGGGGCTGGGTGGATTTTTACTGAATTGCCTTCCACCATGGCCTCATTCTCAAAGCTTGCTTATCTCTAGGCTCTCCAAGTAATTCAGCTACATTCTTAGGGAACTACATAGTTTTCAAAGATGGAGCACAATAGCAGTCACTAGGCAAAATTTACCACAGGTGTTTAAAGTTTTGAAAGGTAATATAATGGAAGATTACAATAAAACACTGCCCTAATTAGAGGTGATGATTCTGAATTGAAAACAAGGAAATATACACTAAAAAAGGGCATTGCATGAGTAACTGAAGTGGCATTAAGAACATAAGAAGAACATTGCAGGATTAGCCTGAGGCCACATCTCGTCCAGTGTTCTGTTCCTGCAGTGGCCTACCAGATGCCCACGAGAACTCCACAAGCAGGACACGAGGGCAATGCTGCTCTTTTCAGAGGCCCACATTCCTCAGCAACTAGCATTCATAGGTATACTGCTTCTAATACTGGAGGTTTTGTAAGTCTGGGCGTGTGATTCCCATGGGTCTAGTTTGAGTATGACTAAATCTACATCCAACCTAATACAAGTGGTTATTAAATAGGACTTTCTCTCTTCATGTAATCAAATCTATTTGTGGGAAGGCCTTTCTTTGTACATGCTAGAAAATGTACAGGAACTGTTCACCACTCAGTTCAAACTGTTTAAGATGGACTGTAATGAGAGTATTTCCTGTTAGATCTTTAGGTACTTGGATACTTTGTATGTTTTGGCCACTGGCTGTGTTCAGATGAAACTAGTCTATACTTAAGCATTATACAAACAAGCTGCAACAAGTCTCAGGTTCATATCCTCTCCCTCCTCTCCACTGTGGTTGCCAGGAAAGTGTACAGGCTTTCACTTCTGCTTTAGACCAATGGCAGCTGGCTGTGTCATCCCAATGCAACAAACTGTGGTTAATATTAACTGTGGTTTGTTTAAAACTGACCTCAGACTTTGGATTATGAAGCTGGCTTGTTGAACCAAGCACAGTTAACATTAACTACATTTTTGAGCTACATTGCTGTCAAGTGTGATTAACCTTTCCTTGTGTCTACCACACCATGGGAGAAGGGGAAGAGCGCTCGTCTAGAGCTTGCATTTACTCATCCACAACAGACTAATCTTTGGTATACCATGATGTCATGCCAAATCATAATCATTTTGTCATGGAAATTCATTGATAAGTTCATAACTGGAGAGGGAAAAAAATGCTACCCTCAGCCATTAGATAGCAGTCCAAATACATAGTTATGAGCTTGTTTGTACATACTGGGTTCATCACTACAACTAACTTCACCAATCTCATACAAAACCTACCATCAATGCTAATTTGCATTTGTGACACTCATTACTTTTAGTTGTTTGCTATAGTTAAAACTTGCTTTTTCTATCTTGTTTTAGCTGGAACTGAATAAGAAATATGCTAATCAAACTTGTGGTCTTTGTGGAGACTTCAATGGAATCCCAACATACAATGAATTCATTTCAAACAGTAAGTAACAGAAACAACGCAGGCAGTCCCTTTTTATTGCCTTTCAAAGTGGGATATGTCTCAGTTCATCTGTAAAATGACAATGTTTATTTTGGCAAACACTCTAGTGAAAGATTGTTGCTTTGACTGCTGTGTAGCATTTTAAAAGGCTTGTCTGTTGTAGTGATCTTGAACCAACCTAAGTTTATAGAGGCTTAGTTTAGCTTTGTTTTTGTGTCTTCTCTTTTTTTGTAATGAATCAAGCAAACATTCAATGCCCCTTTAAAACTTGGATTTCTTTTTATAATGTGGGAACGGGGCACCCGACTTTCTTTTTACAATGTGAGAATGGGGGCTGGAGTTCATGTCAAGTGAGGAGAGCCTTGAATCTGTAATGGTGGGGCAGGAAATTGGCATCTCCAGCTCACCAATCTGAATTTATTACTTGAAAAGGGCCAAATACACCTTCTGTTAATAGTGTTGATGCTGTTCTTTCTTCACTTTCATTTAAATGCATACAGGGGAAGGAAGGTTTAACTTTCCACTGCCTACTTGTTTTTGTCTTGAAATTCCAACCTCCCCTCCACCTGAGGGGCACAGGTCTTAAAAAGAAGGGGAAAAAAGTGTCCATTGATTTCTTTACACAAAAGTGCAGAAAATTAGAAGATGACATCAACTATACCAACAAATTTAGTTATATGTGCAATTTGGCCCTTATGTAGGGCCAAAGTTAGCAGTGACCAGCTCCACTCCAGATTCAAGAGTTGGCTCTCCCAGATTGGTGAGCTGTTCCTCCTGCATGCACAATTTTAGAATGTCACTTTGAAAATAATGTTATGCAGGTGGCACAGTGGTTTAAACTGCTGTGCTGCAGGGCTGGTTGATCAAAAGGTCGCCAGTTCAAATCTGCACAATGGGGTGAGTTCCCGTTGCTCCATCCCAGCTCTTGCCAACCTTGCAGTTCGAAAGCATGCAAATGCAAGTAGATAAAAAGGTACCACTTTGGTGGGCAGGTAACAGCGTTCCGTGCAATTCGGTGTTTAGTCATGCCGGCCACATGACCACAGAGACTGTCTGCGGACAAACGCTGGCTCCCTCAGCTAGGAAACGGAGATAAGCACCGCCCCCTAGAGTCAGACATGACTGGACATTAAGTCAAGGGGAAACCTTTACCTTTATCCTTCTGCAGATGTCAAGCTGGATCCTGTGCAATTTGGCAACATGCAGAAAATGGATGGGCCCACGGAGCAATGCGAAGATCCTCTGCCATTTTCCAGAAGCAACTGCAGCCATGAATTTGTAAGGATCTTTGATTGTTTGTATGTTTTCATGCCTTTTTTTAAGGGAAACCTATTTTTATTTTTATTTCCCTTACCTTTTGCTTGAGGGAATGCAGAAATAAAATGAATTCTTGGAAATAAATGCCAACTTATAAATATTGGTGGTCAAAATCAATAGTTGTTCAGTAGCTAATCAATGCTTTATAGTGCCTTTCATCTTACCACTGCTTATTTCTTCCTTCCAGAGTACTGTCTGTCAAAACATATTGACTGGTGAAGCATTCATCAGCTGCAATGCACTAGTTGATGTCCATGATTACATTAATGCTTGCATTCAAGATCTGTGCAACTGCGATAAGTCTGTGCTCGAAGTCTGTGTTTGTGACACCTTTGCTGAATACTCCAGGCAGTGTGCCCATGCTGGTGGACAGCCACTTGAGTGGCGAACTCAAGATCTGTGTGGTAAGGACCTTTCTAAAAGGGACCTTCACATTTCCAGGAGTTCCTTAGCACCAAATTCATAAAGTTGGGTAGAAGGGTCCTTGTAAGCCATCTACTCCAATCCTGTCCCTGATGCAGAACATCCAGACCTATAGCATCCCTGACGGAAGACACCCATCAAGAGAGAACACCCCCCCCACACACACACAACTCCCATGTACTTGGTTCCATTGTCACAATGCTCTTACTAGTAAGATGTTCTTCCTCATGGCCAGCTGAAATCTATCCACCTATAAAGGCCATTTAATCTAGTCCTGCCGTCTGGAAGAACAAGCCAGTGCCCTCTTGCATGTGACAGCACTTCAAGTATTTGAACAGGACCATCATATACTCTCCCTGCTTTCATAGTCACCTTCCATTTTCCTTACAAGACTAGTTTTCCATCCACTATTGCATGATGCATTGCAGAGGACCAAAACATAAACCAGTAACTGTTAACATTCTATTTACTACCAATTCAAACTGAGAGAAAACAACAATATAGGATACAAGAACAATCTAGAACCTCATCATTCTTTTCTGCTTTCAGCCAAGTCATGTCCTTTCAACATGCAGCACCAAGAATGTGGATCTCCCTGCTCTGATACTTGTACCAATGCTGAAAGGTCCCAGCTCTGTGAAGAACACTGTATGGACGGCTGCTTCTGTCCCCCAGGTAAGTCAATGCTGATGCCCTTATGCTGCAGACAATGCAGACAATGCACTAGGTTAGTTGGTTGGTTTATTGGTGTGTTTGTTTATTAGCTTTGTGTACTACACACGTTGACAAATGCTCTGGGATGATTTAAAAACAGAAAAGCAAACAACAAAGTTAATAAATAAAAAATGATCATACAAACATGAAAGTATTACAATTATAATCAAACATTAAAAGTAATTAAAAACAATGGGGAGCCTGCAGTAAAATTCATATAGGGTAAATGCCTATTTAAAGAGGAATGCCTTACCCTAGTGTCTAAATGCGTTTAGATTTTTAAAAAGAATTCTTCTATTTTATTTATTTATGGCATTTAATGCAGAGGGGCAATTTTCATTGGCATCTTGACAGAGAAGGGAAGAGTTAGATCTCCCTGCCCTGCATGGGGCAATCTCAATGAAATGGGGGCACACACCTACAATTCAGTTAAAACATAGCCCAATATGCTTTCTAGCAATGCCTTTAGTGTCACTTAGTGCCTTTAGTGTTTGGCCCCGGCAGTTAAGAGAGCAACATGAGCAGAGATGCTTCTGAATGTTATAAAATTATGTCTTTTGCCCGACCTCAATAAGGGAAGAATAGCATAGGGGACATCATACAAAAAGCAGCTAAAATGATGGGGATCCTCCTTTCACCTATCTAGTCCAGCCTCTTGGGGAGAACAGCAGCTAGCCAAATGTATGGGAAGCCCATAAAGAGGGCATGATAGGAGTAGTGCTCCTCGCGGTGAGGAGTTTGCTGCCTGAGCCAAAGAACAAGATGGCATCACAAACCAGACAGGTAGTTGAATCCGGCTTCATTGTCATCTGTCACATCTGAAGGTACACAGGCTGGCTGGGGGCAGGCTAGGAAAGCCATGGGCACACATAGCTCTTCAGCACTTCCCCTATTGCCTATTGCTCCCAACATCTGCTGCCTGAGATGGCCTCCTCACTTGGTCTCCACATCTGTTTTTTATCTCTCTTCCACCCAAAGAACATTGGTTCTTGCACAGATTATAGATAGAATTAATTAATAACACAAGAGTGTTGTGGCTGCCATGGCTAATAGCCATGGATAGAACCTGTCCTCCATCAATCTGGCTCACCCACTTTTAAAGCCATCTAAGCCAGTTGTAGCACTATGAGAGAGGAATCTGCCTGGTCAGTGAGAAGAGGACAGGAGGAGGAGTCCTGTGGGGTTCATTTTGGAAAGTAACATTGGGTGACTATTTTTTGAATCCATGACAGTTGAGCTATAGGTTCTTCAGGGAACCATCTTGTCCCCAGTGGTGTTTAACATATATTGGAAGCTGCTGGGAGCAGGTAGTAAGGGATCTTGAGCTGAAGGCACTCAGCTCAGTCTCTCTGTGACAACTGAATCAGGAGAGGCTGTGTAAGTCCTGGATCAGGGCTTGGACTCAGTGATGAGCTGGCTGAGGGCCAGTAAACCAAAGCTGAATCCTGGAAAAAAAATTTGTGCAGAAAATACTATTGTACCAGGAAGCCTTTCTTGTTGACCACTCTCAGGTTTAATGTTACTTCTTATTAATGTTTTTATGTGTTGTTTTTATGCCTTTATTTGTTTTAACCTGGTACTGTTTACCACTCCAGAATCTATTTGGGAGTGGAGTGGTATAGAAAGCTTCAAATGAAATGAAATGAAATGAAATGGGCTCAACTAGATGGGTCAAGGCACTGTTCTAGCCTAGTGATTTGTATGCTCTTAAAAAAGAGCAAAACACACACCTTACCTCCAGACTATGTTTTAATACAGTTTCTACAGCTGCCCTCCCTGTGCAACTGTAAAATTGCTCCCTGGTAGGGGTCCTTTATACCAAGACTACACCACTAATGTCAGTTGAATTACATCTTGCACTCCACCATTTTGAAACATAATGAAATCTACATGAATAACTCAACAGCGAATATATCATCTTCTAGGCACTGTGTTTGATGACATTAACAACTCTGGCTGCATCCCAAATAAGGACTGTTACTGTACTTACAACGGGGGTACCTATGCTCCAGGAACTTCCTTTTCAACCCAGTGCACTTCATGGTAAGAAAACTACTGCTCAGTTCATACTGAGCTATTGACAAAGGACTGCCATATGGTTGGTTGGTTTATCTGCACACTTGGGACTATTTTCTTTCTTCTTCTTTTTCACTTTTCCCTTTCACTGATTCCAGTGGAAGGGAAATGCATTACATGGGCCCCCAGGCTAATGTAATTCTTCTCTTGTTCTAGGGATATGGTGGTATCAGATCCTACAGATCTAAGAGCTCTTTCTGAGCATGCACATAAAGTTGCTCCCTTTTGCCTCTCAGTCTTTTGAGCTCCCACATTGGCATGGCAACAGCTGAGGACCTTTGGGTAGCCTTGAAGAACCTTGTGAGGTTGGATCTCCTTCTCTGAGGGTGGACCTCCCTCTCTTTCCTCAGAAGAGAAGATCTGAATAATCCTCTTGTCCCTGGGGTACCATGCCTAGGTCCATAGAATCATAGCTTAAGTGCATTCTCTTTCTAAATAGGTGATCTTAAACGATTATAAGGACTGGAAACCTTATCTGGAATTCAGTGCTTTTTCTATGATGCACTGAATCCTACCTTTTCACTGAAAAGTGGTACTCAAGGTGGCTAAAAATAAAAAGCAGATTAAAAACAAAAATGTGATTTAAAGTTTTTTTAAAAAAAACAATGATTGCAGTTGAAAAAGTGTGATGGAAGATCCAAATTTGCCTTTCTTTTCTGAACTGTATCTACCCCAGGCTACATTTTGCAAGCAGTTTCTGAAATAAACCCTTGCAATATGCACCCCCGCCACCAAGCCTTTAAAAGCCCAGTTGGAACAAATTCCAAACATAACACATTTTTTGATCTCATGGTTCCAAATTTCAAATGAGTGAATTGGAGTAACTTTGATATTGCATTTTGTATGTGACTTTTATCTCAAAATGCAGGAATTGTTGACATCTCTGGTTTCATTTTGATTTTGGTAGGCTTTAAATATCAAATGTAATAAGGTGTCAACAGTAATCCATGGATTACTGTTTCATGTCTATCAAAAGCTATGATAAATGTACTATTACAAGTCTAACACTGAATGCTTGTCCATGCCAGCAATCAAGTACTATCAAACTGATATACCAGCAATTTTCTTTCAGGGAAAGTCAGTGTTCCTCAGTTAGAGGAACAATGAAAGACAGCTTTGCCCACCACTACTATTCTTCCTTTGCCATGCTCAGTGACCTTGTTATCTTGACTGTGTTATAGGAAACACTTTTACTGCACAGTTGGTGACAGTGAGGCCTAGCACTGGCCCATATATACTGAGTGTACAACCTATAACATGCCCCATAATGTTCTGTAATATGCCACCATTCCCCAGCAAATCCACAAAGGTTCCTTGGCAGAACTTGATGTGGAAAAACTCCCCTGAAGATTGAAAGTTTAAAAATGACTGTGATATACCAATGAATGTAGTGCCTGTCGGTCAGCAATATTAAATCCCATTCCATACCAGCTAGCAAATACCACAAAAAAATACCAACTGTAGTAGGGTATCAAATATTGGGATATTCTAGTAGTTAGAGAATATCCAACATCAAAATATAGGAAGGAGAATTTTAGACAGCAGATTATTTTCAGCTCTAAGGGAGGCAAAGTTATTTTACAAGCTGAGATGCATGGTAAAGAAGCATTTGCTTAAACACCAAATTAAATGTAAATCCTGTTTTAGACAGCCTGTTTTGCAACACAGAGGGTTGGGGAATACAGAGCTTATAATTGCATGTCTACTGATGCAATATAAAATTATTAACAAGGTTCAGTGCTACATGATACCTTTGAGGCCACTTTCTGCCAAAGCACTTAGTGCAATTCTGAATTAAAGAAAAAAAAAAAAAAACAAGCCTTACTTACTTGTTCCGCTTGCTTATGTCAGGGGATGTAAGATTTCTGTCTCTTCTTCAGCACATGCACGGGAGGCCAGTGGGCCTGTGTCAGCCTTTCCTGCCCTGGAATGTGCTCGCTTGAAGGAGGTTCCCACATCTCAACATTTGATGAAAGGCGCTATTCTGTTTTTGGGGACTGCAGCTACATCATAACAAAGGTAATCAAAACAGACTCTTTGGGGAGAAGTTGTGAATAGAAAATCTCCCTCATGTATTACTTGAAGGAATTGCAAACTGTCTTTTGAAATGGCAAAGAAGAAAGTTTGACTGAGCTCTAAGAACTGGCATCAACGTTTATATTCTATACCCTGAAATGTCCAAGAAAATCAGCAATTTCTTAAAAAGAATTATTTCAGTAAAATTTTATAGTAGATCCATAATAAAGTATCACAGTACTTTCGGGTGCTGCTTGTGAGGGCTTCTCTACATTTATTGTGCACATGGGGTGCCTCACTCACAGAAGTCTGAAAGGCTTTTTTCTTCAAACCATCTTCCTCCAGTGCCTCCCTCGAATTTCCCAGCCATTTCTACAGCTTTTTTTTAGAGCAAGGAACATCTGGTATTCTCCTAGTCAGCGCCATGATAGAAACCCGTATATTTTCACAATTCTACTCTTACCACAGCGCCCCCTTGAGTTATATAATGGAATGTATATAAAGGCAAAGAGAAAACCCACAAGGAAATAAAGGTTTTATTTAAACGTGTGAAGGGCACTAAAATCCTCCTTCAAAGCAAGCAGAAGGAGCAGCTGGGCTCTGTGCCTCATTCAGAAAGGATGTTTCATTCATTCTTGTGAAAGAATAACAGTTTGTTTCACAGACTGTGAAAATGAGCACTCCAGTCACTAGAGAGATGAAACAGGGCCTGGAAAACAGGGCACCTCAGACTTCGATAGGATCTGAGGCATAGGCAGCATCTGAATGACACTGCCACACTGAACAAGCTAGTCGCATGGGTCCTTTCCTTAGACTCAGCATGCTTCCTCAGGGCCAAAGCAGACATGAATTTGGATCCTTAGGATGTAATTGTTTTAAATAAATAAGCTAATTCACTCCAAGGCACTATGATAATTAAGACAAAGCATTCAGAAGGTGCAAGTTGCAAATACTCTGCTTCTTTGCTTCCAGCTCTGTGAAAGCAATTTCTTCACTGTTCTGGGAGAAATTCGAAAGTGTGGGCTAACAGATACGGAGACCTGCCTGAAAGGCATCGCAGTCAGCATAGCTGGAGGACAGACTGTAAGTATGAAAAACAAAGATGGCCAAATGAATGTGTGGAAAATGAATTGCACACTGACTTTCAAGCATACTGTTTTCCCCTCAATAAGATAGGAAGCATATTCAGTGTTATCAGAATCAGAATCACTCTCCATTGAGCTCCTAGTTTCAATTCCTGTCTCTAACACTGTTACCTGAACCTGTAGCAAAAGAAGTGAGTCACCAATTCCAAACAGTACACAAAACTGAATGTCCTTGAGCAACCTTCCATTGCTTCTTGACCACCATTTCCCCTTCTCAATTGCCCAATAAGAATTGTTCACTATCAGGAGCCACAATTTCTTCAATTTTCCTTCTGTACATTCCTGAATGTTAAAGTGGACTTTTCACAGTCTAGATCAGAGGTACAGAAGACTTTCAACACGTCAATTTCAGAGAAGATTTAGGGGTCAGAATTTCAATCGCTGACAGGGCCAAAAGCTAAAGGGGTGGGTCAATGATGATGATGATGATGATGATGATGACAGGGGAAGGAAGCATGGCTATCTGGGGAACTCAGGAGGACTCAGTTGGGATTCTATGAAGGCTGAATTTCTCCATCAGGTTTGAGGTTGTCCATCTGCATCTAGGCTGCGATCCCTGGGCCGTGATACTCAGTACTTTTTTCTTTTTGCACATTCTCTCTCCCCTCTTTCTCATTTCCCTGTTTTGTCTGCCTCTTTAGGCTAATTCTCCTTCAACTATGCTTTCCTTGACTTCCTATTTCTTAGTCTACTGATTAGTCCATTACTGCACCATAAAGCTGTTCTGGTGCAGAGGGGCCTGTGTGATTATTTAAACTCAGAAAACGGGCAGTTGTTGTCTCTTCCTTCATAAAAGCTGCTCCATACTTCCAACTAACTTTATTTCCTGAACAGCTGGAACGTTTCTGAACTAGCCTTCCCAAAGAAAACTAGTTCATGTCCAAAGTGTCACTGCCACTAGTGCTATACAATGTTCGCCACTGATATGCACAATGGGAACAAGCTCATATTTCCTTTGTATAGTGGAAGTCAGTGTTTTTGAAGGAAGTTCTGAGGCAGAGGTACTTTTTCTAACTATGCCAGCTCATAGTTCTCTTGTCGTTTCTCCTCTATCAGGTAGTTGTGATCAAGTCTACTGGAGCTGTGTACGTGAATATGATCCTCACTCAACTGCCTTTCTCAGCATGTAAGTTATTCTTTTTCTCTGTTATACTTCTACATGCAAGAGCAAAGCTCTGTTTCCCATATGTACTCTAGCTTATGTGCCATGCCAGTGACCCTTCTCTTCAAGTACTTGTTGAAAGGCAGTTACCACAGAGGTCCATATGTACTAAGCTGCATGCTTAAGCAGGTTTCCAAATTTACTGCACTTCAGAGACTTATGCCATGCACACATTTCTTTGTAAATTGTGATGTACTGGGAAAGCCTGGTGAGTATAGCAGCTCCAACCAGTAGGCAACTGTGGGACTGGGAAAAAGGGCTATGTAGGAAGCATATTGTTTATGTTGCAAGCATGCCATCATCAAAAGGTAACAAGTCTGGATTTAGAAGCTGCCATATGCTGGCAGAGGAAGAGGGAAGGAGTGATTGATTGATTGATGGATGGATGGATGTATATGCTGCCTACTAGCCATAGACTCTCCAGGCAGCTTACAACATATTAAAATCCCTAATACTGAAGACAACATGACAGTACACAAATACAAAAGACCAATAATGATACAATCAGAATGTGATAGTTGCCTATTTGATGCAGGAATAAATTCCTAGTAAACATAATACTGTACTTATGCAGATGGTAGAGACAGTTACCATTAGCATACTTCTGAGATGAAACATTCTTCTTTAGTTAGTTCCATCAAGATGGAGCATCTTGCTAGAGCTGGCAACAGAAATGGTGTTGGTCACAGACTACCCATGTAGGATTGCTGGGGAAGAAGAAAAGCTCATGCCATGCTTATGGGCCTCCCAGAGGCATCTGATTGGCCACACTAGCAAACACGGTATCAGACTAGATAAGCCTTAGATCTATCCAGCACAACTCTTCTTAGGTTCTTAGGATTCTGAGTTCAAATTTAGTACTATCCTCCATAGCAGAAGTTCATTTACTAACAATGGAACTAGTTAATACGTCTGATATAAGCAAATGTTGTCCATGGTACACATGCAGAGTACAAGGGCACACATCACTCCCCATCCCATCCCGTTAGCAGCTGCCACAACCTCCTGAGTCTGCCACCAAATGAAATGCTGAATCCCATATGCAAGCTTCTTATGTTCTGCTTCCACAGCCAACATCACCATCTTCAGACCTTCATCATTCTTCATAATTATAAACACAAATATGGGAATCCAGTTAGAGATCCAGCTTGTACCTCTCATGCAACTTTTTGTGCACTTGAACCCAACCCACAAAGGGCAGACATGTGGTAAGTCAGTCAATGGGTCATTCTCATTACATGGTGAAATTTCTTAAACATAGTATGAAGGATTAAAAATCCTCCTGGCTTTGTCCCAGGTCTCTGTGGAAACTTCAACAATGTCCAGACAGATGACTTCAAAGCCATCAGTGGTGTGATTGAAGGAACTGCAGCTGCTTTTGCCAATACCTGGAAGACACAGGCGGATTGCCCTAACATCAGGAACATATTTGAGAACCCATGTACTCTCAGCATTGAAAATGGTATGTGCATTGGACACTGAAGATATAAAGATCCTCTTGACAAGTAAAAAATAGGATCCAAGATGCTCAGGGAAGCATAGAAGTTTCTTTCCCCTCCCATTTTATCCAGAAAGCAGTCCTGTGAGATAGGTTGGGCTAAGATAATGTGACTGCCTCAAGCTCACCTAGCATTTGGGATCACCTAGCATAGTAACTGGCCAAAGATCACCAACAGTGTTCCTCCACCAGCAGACATAATGTTGGATGGCTCTGTTATGAGCTTCATGGCATGAGTACCACATATGAACTCTAGAGCAGGAAAAAAAGTGGAGGGGAGACATAGTGAGCATTTCAAATAAGGTGTTGTTTGGGTTACAACTGAAGTAGGTAATCCAGGAGCCACATGCAGTCACCACCACTCCCCTGAAATTTGCAGTTGTAACAGAAAGAAAACAAATGGCTATTGCAGGGATAAACAAGTTGGATTTGGCTTAAAACAAGTTCAGTTTTTCCATCTGTAGCTCTTCATAGTTGTTTGCCAAACTAGGCAGCAAAGTACCACTCCCAATGGATTCATGGTGTCATTGCAAAATGTGCCCCAGAGGGGGGGAAATCGCCAAAAAAGGGAAGGAAAAAATCTTTTGTGTCTTTTGTGTTCACAGAAAAATATGCTTCCCACTGGTGTGGACTGTTGACAAGCAAAAAGGGGCCTTTCCAGAAGTGCCACTCTGTAGTAGATCCAGCTGTTTACCACACGGTACATTGCAAGTTCTTTTCCTGAACCTGAAAATAACTCCCAGAGAGTGAGAAAGGAACTTGCCAAACAGGAGAAACCACTCTAAGGTTTTAATTTACCTTCTGGCAACCTTCCCAATTGTCATTAATGTTCAATATTAATCCCCTTAACTTGTAATCCAGCATATACATTTCTTGAGCCACTGCTGAATATAAACATCTCCTTGTTCTGTTCTGCTTGCTTGTTGTTTCCTAACTTCTGACAAAGTGGTTTATATCCTCCAGTAATTTAAAGTAACCAGGAAAGTGCAAAGAGAAATACACCTATGTGTAAATTACATTTGCAGAGGCAGTAAATGTGTAAATTTTATGCTGTTTTACTGATTTATGATTAAATTAGGGACTAACTAGACAATGTAGAGGAAGTGTGGCTGCCACTAACTTGCATGCCCCACCCTTCAAATTGTGTTGCCAATGAAATACATAATATGATGTCTCCACATCCACCATTTCCTGTACCCTTACAAAGGCAACCAATGAATGGAATACGGGTGAGCAAATGCTGAATGTGATTATATTGTTATGCTTTTCTTTTACTAGATGTTACTGAGGGGATGTAGCAGATAGAAGCCCTTAAGTAGCCATACACTGAAAGCCAAGTTCCACCCCACCCACCCACCACATTACAAAGCATGTAGATCAAAATGGAATCTGTGCCATCAGTGGTGTGATGGCTTCAGAGGAAACATCTCTGAGAGGTGGGAGGTGTTCAGTCAATGTGAATGGGATGTTCTCTATGTTCCTAGAACTGCATGTTTGACACGTGCAACTGTGAAAGGAGTGAGGACTGCATGTGTGCCGCACTCTCTTCCTATGTCAGAGCCTGTGCTGCGAAAGGAGTGCTGCTGAGTGGATGGAGGACCAGCGTTTGCAGTAAGTTATGGAACTATCAAAGGGACTTTGCAACCAGAAAATCTATGGGCAAGAGGAACATTTCAGACTTGTCCTGGGCAAAACTTTAGGGGAATTTGGGACATGTATGGAGTCTCCTCTGGTTTTGGTTGTTGCTGCTTAAACATCCCTTAGTGGTGCCAGCAATTTCCCCCAGAGTCTTAACTACATGAGAAGACAGGTTCCTGAGGATGAGGCATACAGGAACTCCAAAAGAGGCAGAAGGAAAATATGTTCTCCTTCACCATAAGGTGGCAAGGTCCAGCACATCTCGCTCCTGCCACTGTGACCATGGTGAATGAGAACATAAGCAAGCCAAAACAATCTTCACAGCCCAGAATAGGAGGTGAGCAGCAAAAGTTGTATTTTTCAGATAAAATAGAAAGGTAGTTTGTTTATTTCAGAAAATTTCTATACCACTTTGGGTTTTTTAAGTCCCAAAGTGGTTCACAAAATAAAACCATGACAAAAATACCATAAAACCACTTAGTAAAATCATAAAATATTGGATTAAAATTACCAGGACTACCAGGTGATGCTACTGGTCAAGGTAACACCTCAGCAAACAAATGTATCTCATCTTGTCAAGAGAAACTGCATACATCAGTAGGCTGTGATATGGTAAGCAAAGCCTCCCTCTTAAAATGTAGAAACTGGAGCAGTCTATAAGGGGCAAGGGAGTACTTCCAAAAAGTGAGCATTCCAGGTTACTTTAATGGATAGCGCTTGATTCAAAGAAGAAAGAACATGGAATGGTCACACTAGAAGAGGTCCAAGACGTCCCTTCTGATACATGAGCCACATTCAGTTCATACACTAATTGCTGCCATGAGACTGAATATGTGTCTGTAAGCTTCAGATATAAATTGTGCACTGCTGCAGTAACCCTTGCAGCACCCTCTAGAATAACTTGTGCCTTTTCCTTCCCTCAAGCCAAATATCAAATCTGTCCCAAGTCCCTGGTTTATCGGTATGTCATCGATTCCTGCCAAGCCACCTGCCGAGCTCTGAGTGAGCCAGATGTCACCTGCAACATCAAGTTTACACCTGTGGATGGATGCACCTGTGAGGAGGGGATGTACATGGATGAAAATGGCAAATGTGTACCTGCTCCAAGCTGCTCTTGCTACTACAAAGGATCTCCCTTACTACCTGGAGAAGTCGTTCATGAAAATGGCATGATGTGGTAAGAGGTTGTTTGAAATAAGCATGATTGCACAAGGACAGGGACAACAAATGCCTCTCTTCAGAAATTTTTATACAAGTTGAACATTCAGAGATCAGGAATGATCAAAGGAAGAACCATTCTAAAATAATTTGGCATAATTTGTGAACTGCCGTGTCACTTTTACATTCTTAAATTGAGGTATTTGTTCTTTGTTAGAAATGTTTGACAAGAAATTAGATATTTTGTGCCTCCCAGCACATGTCTGAGGGCATAACCCAATGTCCCCTGCCTATAACACACAGAGGCTTACGTGCACTCAACACATGGAAGAAGGCCACTGTCTGTCTAAATGAAGTGGTATGACGGGGGGAGGGGAGGAGGCTGGGCCCCATTATGAAGATCCTTATTTTATTGCTATATAGCTCAGTATCTGAAGCAAACAGAAATGACATTTGGGCAAATAGAAATGTAAAATAAAAACACAGGTGCCAATGAAATTTTCATTAAAAGTACTCTACAAAATTTAAAAGCCAAGTTTAAAAACAGTTTTAAACAGCTACAATAGCTGCACAAATTAAATTATGAGATCTGCTGGACCCCACTCAGCCAAGGAGCACAGTCACAGACTCCCAGCCCATCCTACCTCACAGGGTTTTTTTTCGGAGAATGAAAGTGAAAGGAAAAGAAAATGTATGTAAGCTGACTTGAGTTCCGTGAGATGAAAAAAGGCGGGATAAAAATATAATAAATAAGTACCACAATGTACTATTTAGAGATTATTGCATGCCTTGTCATAAAGAAACATCGTACTCTACCGCCAAAAAAATCATAAAGTGCGGGGGGGGGGCATTATCTTGTTGTGGGGGGGCACCTTGGTGCTGGGATTTAATGTCACCCATAGAATTGTATCTAAATGCCAAAACATTCTGTTTGGAAAACTCGAACACTTGTGTTTGGGGGTTGCTGTTTCATTTGCAAGTTGTTTCTTTAAAAAAAACCTATGAGGAACATATTTTGAGGTATTAGTTCCAGGAAAAAATTGTCCAAGAAAGTCTGTCCAGAAAGGCTATGTACGAGTGTGAAAATTAGATAGGACTTTTACAGTGGCAATCAATTGGCAGGAGTCAAAAAGGAGAGTGGCCCATCACCAGAGCAAACATACAGGATTTTTCTCCATGAAAAATGTTGACATGCAGTAAAGTGGAACCGGAAAATCTGACCTACTTAAGCATTGTTACTGTTGACAACAACAATAGCTGCTTTTATTAAAAGTAGTTCAGATTATTTGTTGTTGTTGTTGTTGTGTGACACTTGCTTATTTCTTTACAGCACTTGCACAAAAGGAGAGCTACAGTGCATTGGAGTAGTGAAGCCACAACCAGGTAGAACCATTAGCTCATTTCTTCTTCTTTTATCTCTATCTGAATGGTGAAGAAGGTTGTCCCTATTAAGCAAGGGAATCTGCACATGGAAGCAAGACACCTGCCTTTTACACAGCTGAGGCTGAAGCAGGTATGCATCTGAATGTGCATCCACAGTGCAACACTCATTCATGGCCCATTGAACTGGCTGGCTACATCTTTCAATGCAGGTGGAAACATGCATCAGCACTTGGAGCCAGATGCAGTGCATAACTAGTTATGTGCAAGCAGGGCTGGATTGGAGCCAGCTTAGTCTGAAACTAATTGATTGGTAACTCTGCAAAGTACGAAATATTTTTGTTGCAAAATCTGAAAAATGCAGATAGTAGATCACCATGGTCTTTGTTCAAATAACAAGATAAGATCAGGTTACACAGTGCTGCAAAGGGAAAGAAATGTTTCCCCACGAGAGGAAAGCCCTCAACAACATTCTCAAAAACGGAGAATCAAGAAATAGATAGTATGTGACAACTTGTGTTAATGGATTCTAATGAAGGTTTTTGATTAAAGTTGAACTCTGGAAGTCGCCTCCCACAGAAGTTTACTTGTGTCAGTCTGTATGGGTGCACATCTGTGTGTGCACACAGAAGGAAGGAAAGATAGTATTGTAAGGTAGCACAATTAAGTGTGTACAATATTTTTAGTACCATACTTGGTAAAATGAAGATGCTTGCTTGTCATAGTCAACTGTTTGTCATTTCAATTTTGAGCTTGAAATCTGAGCTTTTCAATTGAAGCTCAGATTCAGGTGTCTGTTCAGACTCTGATGAAATGTTTCTTTGTTAGGCTATTCAATTAACTGGTCATTGAATGTTTAATCACTTATTAAACATCAACTGGTCAAAGTTGATGTTTAATAAAAATACTATCCCCTGCAATGTGTTAGCCAACTGGCAATTTCAAACGAAGCTCAAATTACACTTTTAGCGAGCAACCTGCATGTGAAACAAGTCTATATATGCAAACTACACCCCTGAACTGCAAATATAGAAAGACAGGTTGGGTTGATTCCAGCTTTGCCCAGCAGGAGCATTCCTGGGTGGAGCTCCACTCAAGATACTCTGGCCAGGAGGAAGAGAGGAGAAAGATGAACCTCAACAATTTCCCTTCCTCCGTAGCCCCAGGCACCACTATCCACACTGTTCCAGAGGTCTCCCCCAGGGATTCTAAGTAGAAATTGGGAAAAGATGTTCTTTTCTCAGTTTAAGGGCAGCCATTGTGGTATAGTGGTTAGTTTGTTAGTCTGGGACTGGGGCTTATAGTTCCCACATGGCCATGAAGTTTACTGGCTAACTATGGGCCGACTCTCAGTCTAGCCCATCTTACAGGGTTGTTGCAAGGATAAAATGGAGAAGGCAACATTGAAAGCTGCCTCAGGTTCCTTTCCAAGAGGAAAAAGGGCAGAATATAAATGTAATGTTAAAATAGATAAACTGGATGATGATGATGCACCCTTTTCCCAGTCATAACCAAGCAAAATACAGTTATACAGAGTAGATATACAGACTCTTTTGAATTTTGTGGTGCAGTTCTTCCATTTAAAAAATGCCCACAAAGATGCATATATTAGAGGTAGATGCACACACAAATGTACATGTTCGTGTAAATAGTATACAAACATGCAATATATTATGGGGATATGCATGAGGATTTTCAAAGCAATCAGCAAACTGATATGGAAATAGAACAAAGTAAACTTCAGGCTGAAAAAAATGAAAAAATAAGCAGAAATAAAGATGCTAAAAAAATGACAGTTTGTCTATTCCTAGGATTAGGGGCCTGCAAATATCAGTCTTTCAGAAGAAACCCTGCCATGGACAGAAGAAGCCTGTCTGTGGGAGGAGATTCTGTATCCAAGCCAGTAATTCCACCAAGTATATAAATTTGAGGCAGAAATATTGAACTGGACTTTCTTTGAAAATGCCAGAACTCAGCTGAAAATATCCCAGGCCCCTTCTCCAGCTTATAGCAACAAGGAGCTGTTTTTCAAACTTGAATAATATGATTCCAAAGGAACTGATAATTGTGAACAATAATTTCTGCTGAGCTTCTAAAACCATTACATTTTTAAGACAAAGAACAGTGACTACCTTGAGCATCTCAGTGTCATGAAGGTGGATACTGTGTACACTCCTTAACGTCTTATAAGTGTTGCAGTTGATAATAGTGTGTCCTAATTCATTTTCAGAAAGTGTGATCACTACTGCAGTAATGAATACTTCTCTCAAGCTGAAATTTCATCTAGCCTTTCTTTTTCTCAGTGTGCAAAGCCCCCATGGTATACTTTGATTGTGCCAATGCAACAGTAGGTGCAACCGGATCTGAATGTCAGAAGAGCTGTCAGACACTTGACATGGGATGTGTAAGTGAACTTGTTTGTTAGATTTATATCCTGCTTTTTTCTTACATCATGCTCAGAGTGGCTTACATCTTTCTCCTCTTGCTACTTTCAAGCTTATCCCCACAACCACCCTGTGAGGTAGGTTGGACTGAGAGTCTGTGACTGCCCCAAAGTCACCCAGTGAGCATCATGGCTGGGTGGGGACTAGATTGCCTAAGTCCCAGTCCTGCGCTCTTAACCACTACACTGCACTGGCTCTCCATGAGTGTAAAGGAGCCATGTTGGATCAAAGGCCTGTCTAGTCCAATATTCTCTGCACAGTTGCCAAGAAAAGGTCCACAAGCAGGATGTGAGTGTGATAGCACCCTCCCACTTGTGCTATCACACTGCTATGCATTGAAAGCAGGTCTTAACTGCACAGGCTGTTCAGCTATCAGACATATGAACAGGAATGGCAGGAATCACTGCATACCCTTGAGGGATCCCTCAGTCTATGAAACAACAGGCCCCTTCTCTCACTATGGGCAGATGCTACAAATTAGAACTCAAACTGCTTGATAATAAGATGTGTTTCACGAGTGTTGACCACAAACCAGATGAACAGCTTGTCAGAAGTTTTGGGGTAGAGATGAGGAGGGGCAGGTCAAGGGTCTTCACATGGTAAACCACCTGAGTCAACTTATGCCATGACGCTCTGACATTCCTTCTTCGTAAAATAATTTTGAATGTGCCATGTCACAGTCTAGTGGTTTCTTGGCATATTCTCAAACAGGGTTCTCTATACCAAAACTGCCCTGAAAACAATATCCTTGATGCACTTGTGCATGAAGAAGAATGTTAGGATGGGTTGGCTCACCAGTGGAGAATGATGGTAAATTTGAATTTGATTGAACTTTGTTCAGTATCTTAGCAAGCTGTCTGGTATCCTGCGGATTCACCATCTTTTTTGCTTGTCCCTTTTCATTACAGTACAGCACAGAGTGTGTTTCTGGTTGCGTGTGTCCTGATGATCTGATATCTGATGGCAAAGGTGGATGTGTAACTTCTGACAAATGTCCATGCATTCACAATGAAGCCACATACAGTCCAGGGGAAACCATCAAGGTGAAATGTAACACTTGGTATGTAAAAGCTGACGACCTGTTACAAGCTGAACTAAAAGCACCAAACCCTTCTCTCTCTGTAGCAAAAAGATGTAGTAAATTCAAGTATGTTTCTGTCTGTCTAGTACGTGTAAGAACAGAAAGTGGGAGTGTTCCAAAGAGCCTTGCATGGCAACTTGCGCAGTTTATGGAGACAGCCATTACATCACTTTTGACGGCAAGCGCTACAGCTTCAGTGGAGAATGTGAATATACTTTGGTCCAGGTGTGAAACATTTTCCCAACCACCCATTTTGTGTAACTAAAAGTCTTTGGTCTTGATTGTGTCCACAAACACAAAGCCATGTTCTTCATTGCAGGACCACTGTAGCAAGAACAGTACAAACACAGGAACATTCAGAATTATTACAGAGAACGTCCCCTGTGGCACTACTGGAACCACCTGCTCAAAAGCCATTAAAGTTTTCATGGGAGTAAGTAGCTTCATTGAGTGTGCATTTACAATATAACCTGTGGCCTCAGGCAAAATAAGGAATTCCATTCTACAATACAGGGAAATCTTGACATGGAGCACAAACTAGCTAGGTTAAAAGGCAACGCAGTATGTAAAATGCATACATAGATGGGTCTCAAGTACAACCTCACAAAGTTTCTTTGCACTTCACTAGTAAACTGGGATATTCAGAGAAATTTCTCAGACATTTTTTTTCTGAGAAAAGCTTTGTTTTTGTTTTTTTCTTTCTTTCCCCTAAAAAAAGGCAATTTTGCAGAATTTTTGTGTTCACAGCAGGCATGAATTTGTTTGCTACCCTACAGTGACCAAGAGTGATGTTAGATCTGGGGCAGTCTGGAGGATGTGGCCTGGGCAACTTCTTCTTTGATCTGGCCTGGGCAACTTCTTCTTCCTTCTCTTTCTCCTCCTATATTTTTATTTTATACTGATAATTTTAATTTTGTATTTGTAAATCAATGTATTTTTTGTATTTTTATATTTAATAGTAATTTATTATGTACTATTGTATTTCAATGTATTTTATCATGTTGTAAGCCGCCCCGAGGTTTCGGCAAGGGGCGGCATAGAAATGTTATAATAATAATAATAATAATAATAATAATAATAATAATAATAATATAGAAGGCTGAGCAAGCTATCAGCCCAGTTCTTAGTGCCAACACAAGCAGCAGCAAACACGCTAACAAAAAACCTACGGGGAAAGGAAGAAGCTGTGCTGCTGCCATCAGCAATGGGGATTTCCATCCCTGAAAAATCAATGGAGAATTTTTCCTCCCAGTTTCTCTGCCTGCAAAAGAGTGGAGAATCTGGAGGGGCTATTTGCACACAGCTCTAGCAATTTATATTTTATTTTATTTTATTATTTTATTTTGTCAAGACTGCCCAATAGCTGAAGGTCTCTGGGCACTGCACAACAGTGAGTAAACATAATAAAATACAATATAAAATAAAATAAAGCAACAAGGAAAACATCATAAAAGTACACTACTTTTTTCCAACAATTGAAATCTGCCCACACTACTAGCTCTGCTGGCAATAGCCCCACACTCCCATGTGCTATTTGGTAGATGCCTCAGCAAAGAGGAGTGTCTTAATTTGGTACTCAATCTGACATTGTATCAGGTATTGTGGTCCAAAGTTAAAACCAGTACCTTGAATTGATCTCCTCCCTCACCCTGCCCCAAAAGACAACTATGGGTAATGGTACTGAAAGCCCAGTGGGATACAGGAGCAGGGTCACACTCCCTGTGTTTCTCTTCCAACACAGGCCATCATGCAGAGTGACCAAATCTGTTCCTCTGCCAAAACATGGCCTGACCCCTGACTAAAATGGATCCAGACAATCAGTCTCATCCAAGAGTACCTGCAGCTGGGTGGTCACTACCCGCTCTAGTCAAGGACCAGAGAGGTTTCCGATAAACTCCATAAGCTCAGTGGGGCTTTCATCTTGGTTAGACACCTCCTGTTTGCATGGCAAACTATTTTTGAATCTAGTAAGAATTCAGAAATGGTTTGTGCCATGGCATAGGGATCTGTTCTTCAAAGAAGTAAAGTCGTATGTTCAGCTTGCCTGAAGCAGCCATTTGAAACCCTGCTACTATCTTCAAGAAAGAAGTTCCTATAGATCTTTGCAGATCTTAAGAATAAGATCTACAAAGACACACAGCATCATATTTTGAAATGTTTCATCCATTCACAATAAAGCTTGCTGATGGTGAGAAACCTCTGTTGAAAAATTCCAGTTTATCTAATAACACTGATACCTATTCGGTTGTTTTTCTTCTTTTCAGAAGTATGAGCTAATACTTACAGATGAAAAATTTGAAGTCATACAGAGACTCCCTGGTAGAGGAGAAGTGCCATTTAGGATCCGATACATGGGCATCTACATGGTGATTGACACAAGTGGATTTGTCTTGATGTGGGACAAGAAAACCAGTATCTTTATCAAAGTGAATTCAGAATTTAAGGTAGGCTGATATTTCATAGAACATTGCTCAAAGCATAGAATATGCAAACATATAATAAAATTGCCTTATGGAACTTCAGTAGTTTTCAAGAAAAATATATAATCCTGAGAAAAAATATCATATCCATTTCATTGCTAAAAAGGCGGGGGAGGGGTGCTGTTTTTGTGTAAATAAAAAGTAATTGATTTTGTTGAAGCCTAAAAGCTATTAGTTTATGAATCCCTGTTTAGACACTTTTGTTGATTCAGAGCTCTACTTGTGTAGAGCATGTATCACTCTTCTCTGTTCACTTCAAAGAAGACAGCAAATCCAGGCATATGAAAGAATGATACACTGATAAGCTTCCTCCACAGATATTAATTAAAAAATTCCTCATGTGATTGGGAGGATTCACAAACTCGCAGAGTATGACAGCACCTACAAACAACCAAACTAATGTTCAGTTTTGAAAACTCAGTTTTTCTAATATCAGAAGAGGAATAATTCATCTGTTTCTCATAATTTTGTGTCTGTATCCATGCAGGGCCAGTTATGTGGCCTCTGTGGAAACTATGATGGCAATGACATGAATGACTTCACTACTCGGAGCCAATCTGAAGTAGGAGATGTGCTCGAATTTGGTAACAGCTGGAAGGCATCACCAACTTGCCCAGATGTCCACAGCAGCAAGAATCCTTGTGTTGCAAACCCATACAGGAGTTCTTGGGCCCAAAAGCAGTGTAGTATCATTAACAGCAAAACATTCGCATTCTGTCACCCTCAGGTAAGGACAGAATTCTCTTCAGATTAATATATGGGACATTTTTAGTAGCCCTGATCGTGTGACTTCATGCAATTTAACTATTTAAGTGCTCCAGTCAAGATGCAACAACCACTGCAAAAAACAGACATTGGCACTTTGCTGTTGGAAGAATCTGGCAGATACTCCAGAAGCAGCTTCAGAATCAATTCCAGGCCTTTGTAGTTCTCATAACTGGATTTCTCTTACTACCAAAGCTACATTTATGGGTGATGCTTGTTCTCTGGCACACTTGGCATGGCAGGAAGAACATAAGGTGCTGACTTTCACTTTTTCATAGGTTGGAACACCTTCCACTGCAATGTACCTAGAGTGAATCCTGGTGGCATATGGAATGGATGCTTCCTTCCACAAGGTCATTTGGGGGCCTTGGCAGCAGCCATTCTGATTGTCCATGTCATTCCATTAATCTTCAGAATCGACGGCACAAAGAATAATTGAATATTAGTAATTATATCACATATATCTGGGCACTCCATTTCATATGCCACCAGCTTTGTTATAAAGCTTTGATGGTAGCCCTTATCTATCTATCTATCTATCTATCTATCTATCTATCTATCTATCTATCTAAAGGCTTCCCAAACACAAGGTAAGTCTCCTTAGTATGTTTTATGGCTTTTAACCAGAGTCCATATGATCTTTGCAGACCAATTCTATGTTTGACTACTCAGAAGTAAGTTGCTATGAATTCAATGAATAAGTGCATATAGGAATGCAATCTTAATGACAAAAATGCATTAATGTTTTTGGAAGGAAGCAGTCCTGCAGGTTAGATGGGCCTTGCAATTTGCAGGCTTCTGGTATCCAGTGCCCTGCTGAAGGAGTGATGACGATGATTTTTCATCTCACTGAAACCAGTTTGGCCTTTAATTTCCATTAAAGAAAATCACAAGTAGCCCCTAGTTGCTTAGGCTCCCCAAACACAGTAAAATCTGATAGGGCTCACCTCATACATTATGTGAAGGGTGCTGCATGTGTTTCTTGGTGCATGCATGCCATGTCCTCTCTACTTCATTGACAAATTCCTTCCTGACTCCACTTCTTCTCTGAATGGCCCACTAAGACTGAAACATAAATTAAGCTGGATGTATTGTTTTTCCAACAGGTTGAACCAACTAAATATTATGAAGCCTGCGTATCCGATGCCTGTGCTTGTGATACTGGGGGAGACTGTGAATGTTTCTGCACAGCTGTAGCTGCTTATGCTCAGGCATGCAATGAGGCTGGCGTTTGCATTTCTTGGAGAACTCCATCTATCTGTCGTGAGTATGACCCATATATTTTCAAGGGCTTTTTTAACGTCTGGAAAGCAAGATAACATTTCCATATTTCCATTTTGTTCAGTTCTGAGGACCACATCAGAGGTACTCTTATAGTCAGTGAAACCACTGCACTTTGCCTTGTTACTTTCATAGGATGGACACTTTGAATACACCTCAGCATAGGAAGACCTGAAACTTTTAAAAACATGCTAAATCTCAGGGCCACTGCTAAATTCAAAGACTCCTGTGATTCCTCCACCCCATGTCTCCAGCTCACACTGCTTTGACAATATCTGAACTAAGAGCATCAATGAGGCTCACTCATGATGCATTCATTGTACACATCTTACTTGCTCACAATATACACATTCAATACTTGCAACCTAATCACAATTAACTCTGAAGTATTTTTAACCTCTGTATAGATTTTGCATCTATGCACCTGGCATTTATACCCTAAAGCATATCTTCTGTCATTAAAAGAAGAATGACCTAGCTCCTTCCCTTCACCTGTCTTTAGGGTAGGACACACAAACAGGGTTACCTTTATACACTCAAATGCAGGGAATTGCAGAAATCCATGCCAGGATTAGGTACTGGAGAATTTGGAAACTGGAAAAGAAATTCTGAATCAACAATTTGCTATGAATGTTTCGAAACATGTTTGGGAGCACTCTTTTCTAGTCTCTTTGGTCCACTGTGGTTTCAGACATACTCATATCATGTGTGTCTTTATTCGTTAAGTAAATTCACTTGTCTAGAACAGCAGAAGAAATAAATGATTGCCATAAGGACGTAAGAAAAGCTCTGCTGGATCAAACCAAGGGTCCTTTCAGTCTGCCTGTGAGAAAACCCACAAGCAGGACATGAGTGCAATAACAGTACTGTGCTTATGTTCCCCAGCAACTGGTATACATAGGCATAACATCTCTCGTACTGGTAGCATACAGCTATCAGGACATGTTTGATCCTTCAGGCCAAGCTAAACACCCTGGTTGTCAGTGGCAGTGGGGTGTGTGATTAACTACCCAAATAATGTTGCCCTGTCCTTGTCCTTACAGTATAATTCCCAAGTAGCTGTGTGAAAGCACACGAGGGGATAGTAATACTGAGGGAACTAGATCATAAAAATGAAGGGACATTTTTTTAGTGTCTTCCAGTTTGACCACAATCTGTGATATGAAACTAATAACAATAAAATTGTGCATTTCTAATCTGAACTCTAGAGGTCACTCTAGAGGGACAAACAACAGGATTTTTTTCCCAACACCAATATCTGTTCCCTGGGAATGGCAAAATGCCAGCATTAGAAGTATCTCAGTGTTCTCATGCTACTGAAGCAGCTTTGGATGATGTTATCACAAGAGTCCACACATTTGCTGCTTTCCAAACAATGTGGACCACACCATATGCTGGCATATTCAGAAGGAAATGTCCCAGCTATATAATGATAGGTGAAAGTAACATCATAATGTCTTCTTCAGTATTACCAAAATCAATGTTAAGATTGGACCTTTAAACATGATTTGAACCTTTTAAAATTGGGTAATATGTTTTTCATTCTTCATTCTTCTTTCCTCTCCACAAATTCAGAATTTTTTTTAAATTCCCTTGGTCATCTTGGCAAGATCTGTAATCTTGCCAGACTGCCCACTGTAGAATTGAATGCAAGATAATTTTCAGACATATACAAGTGGGCTTTGAAATGACATCCACTGATTTCATAAGAGGGATTAAGTCTAACCTTGTGGCATGATCCTGGACAGCCTACTCCAAGCTAAGCTACAATGAGTTCAATGGAGTGTTTCCCAGATTGCAGTTTTAGTTGGAGCATGACATCAAATGAGGAATAAAAGCCAGGTATTTCTTATCACATCTAGGAGTGCAGAGATGAGAAAGGGCAGGCACTGATATACCAGGGAATGAAATGTAGCAACTGGTATTTAAAAAAAAAAAAAGTTCAATTTGCTTGCAACTACATTTTCTCTTTCCTTCTTCCAGCTCTGTTCTGTGACTACTACAATCCCGAAGGGGAATGTGAATGGCACTACCAGCCTTGTGGCTCTTCTTGCATGACAACTTGCAGAAATCCATATGGAAATTGCTCACATGAGTTACAAGGCTTGGAAGGTAACAAGGGCCATGGGCCTTCTATTTGATCTGCAAAGGGCTGTTACTGAAAATCTCATGTGCAATAGATGACAGTCTACAAGAAATCAGTTTAAATTCTGCTATTTGTACAAAGTACTATAATATTTCAAGTATCATTACTTAGGACAAGCTCTCTATCTTACCACAGGCTGCTATCCAAAGTGTCCAGCCAATAAGCCCTACTTTAATGAAGATGACATGGAGTGTGTCCCTATCGAAAAGTGTGGCTGCTTTGATGACAAAGGAAACCATTATAAGCCAGGAGAAAAAATGCCTTCAGAAAGGAACTGTCAATTATGGTAATGCTTGTCTGTAAAAATGCTAGAAGCATGCATTTTTAAAGTGTGTGAGAAAACATTCTGTTCCATAATTAAGTAATTATGAAATAGAAGGCAAGATTTTGAAATGTTCTTAAAATTAATTTCATGGTCTTTTACACTATACTGTACTATGGGACAAGTCTTCTTCCCATCCAATCCTAGCTCACTCACCTCCATTTGTATTTCTCCTGTAGTAAGAAGAACATTTGCTCAAGGCTTTAGCAAAATGATTGCACCTGTTGCTCTTGATCCTCACTCAGCTACTTAGTTGCTCATATCCATGGGATATGATAACTTTCTGTGCTATTCTTTTCATGATCTCATCTTTCTTATATTTGAAGTCCCAGCTTCTAGTGCTTGACCTGCTGCATATTCCCAGTCCCCTGATCTCAAAGCAAAGGATGGAGTGATCACTCGCATCCAGAGCTCCCCTAATCTGTACTTCATCTATCAGCTCCTCTCTATTGGTCAAGACCAAGTCAAGGATGTTTCCCCCCTCGTCACCTCTCGGACCCTCTGTGTGAAAAACCCTCCCTCTCTAGCCTCTAGGAAGCGACGTGACCTGGCTGTCGCCGCCGAGTGAGTCTCCCAACTAATATCCAGGAGATTGAAATCTCCCATAATTACTGTGTCTCTTCCCCAAGATATCCTTAGAAACTGGCCTGTCAGGACATCATCCAGGGTCTCAAGTTGACCTGGAGGGCGATAACATACCCCCACTGTCAGGTCCCTTTCCCTGTCAAAACTCCTAAGTTTCACCCAGACTTCCTCTGCCGAATCCCCATCTGTGCTGCATTCTATCTCACTGCATCCTATCCCTTCCCTGATGCATAAAGCCACGCCGCCACCCCTCTTTCCCTTCCTGTCCTTTCTAAAAAGATGATACCCCTCTATGTTCACATTCCAATCTTGCCTTTCATCCCACCAAGTTTCTGTGATTCCCACCAGGTCATACCCTCCTATTCCCAGGAGAGCTTCAAGCTCTTCCTGCTTATTACCCATGCTCTAGCATTAGTGTACATGCACCTCAACTCCTTCCCACCACTTTCTTTCCTTGGAGTTCCCAGCCTCCTCCTCCTTCCTCCCATCCTCCCTGATACCTGGCCCCTCTCTGTAGAGTTCTGTCAGTCCCTGCAGTAAACCTGTTGAAACCCCCGAGTTAGAGCCAAACTACACATTACATGGACTGAGGCTTCATGTTTAGAGCTCCCAGGAGATTTCTCTTTGCAAAAGCTATTGGTTTAGGATTGTGGCACAGTGGGAAAAGGATGTGATATTTTTCCCCCTGAACCCCAGTCAACACCATTTCCTTAGAGTTGCTATTAACTGTAACAGAAACTTGTGAATTCAAAATTGTAAGCTTACATATTTCCCACTTCCCATTTCACAGGGGTGAGGGAAAGGATCAGGGCCCCCTTCTACACTAGAGCCCAGTACCAAATGTGTGGCAAGTAGGAATTTCTGTTTTTCACAAAAGAATAGTTTTTATCATTGAATGTTTCCCATAGAATAATGCTTAAATTTTCATTCTCCTCACTTTGAAATATTATCCATTTATTTCAGTGGAACTTCTATCCAGGCAAGATATGCTCCTGCACACACTCACCTGGGTCTAAGTCCTACCGAATGCAATGGGATTTTCTTCTGAACCAACATGTATCAGATAATGCTATAATGCTATCATAAATAACAAATGCTAGTCTATGTTCCCAACATATTCCCACCATTTGCTAAGCACAGTAGAAGGTAGAAGAAGAAAAGAAAGACCAATAAGAGTTTGTTTGTTTGTTTGATTCACATCCTGCTTTTTCCTTAAGAACTCAAAGTGGATTATCTCTGTAAAGGAAGCCACAGCCTCTAATTTAGAATAGCTAAGCAAGGATATCATGGACAGAACATTTTGGAGGGCTTTTATTCACAGGATTGCCCTAAGTCGGACACCTCTAGGCAGTGCATAACAACAAATAACATTATTATTTAGTATACTGCTACTTTATAAGAAGAGTTATTGCGACCTCCTGTGCTTTGTAAAAAAAGTTTAAACCACCTTTAAGCTTATGTTCTTCTTTCTTTTCCCCATCCAGCCATTGCTCAATGGACAGCAGAAAGGACTGTGTCTATGAAGAGAATGGTAGGCTGAGAATGCAGGTTTTTGTATGCATTGCGATTATTTAGAACAGCCTTTTACATTTGAGGTGCTTAATACTGACATTCTCTTTTGAATGACAGAGTGCTACTGTACCTATGAAGGCAGGATATTCAAACCTGGAGACAGCATCTACAACACAACAGATGGCATTGGAGGCTGCATTGTTGCAATCTGTAGTCGCAATGGAACAATAGAGAGAAATATCTTCCCATGCCAAACAACCACAACCCCTGCTACCAGAACTTCTACTGTATTTAAATTTACTACCACTTCATCAGCAACCACTACAGCAGGTACAGCCTCTAATGACTCTATGATTCTATGTCTTTCCTAAAAAATGGAATTGACAAACCAGGAACATAATGTCAATTTTTTTGGGGCGGAATTTTTAAAACTGCCATTTGCCTTTGTTGGTAGATTTCTAATGCATGTGTAGCATGCACAGGTTTATACTGCTTCTTATTCAGGGGTATATCTACATTAACAAACTGTTATTAACTGAATGCCCTTTTAACAACCGTAGTTCTGAAGAAATCTTGGGAATTCCAGGTTGATGCGTGGGCTAAGAATATTGTTTGTGATTCCTAGCCTCCCCTGTGGAATCCCAAGGATATTATCAAGGATATCTCATCAGAGGGAACAACCATTAACACGTTTTCATTCTAGACTGGTGTAGGGAGCGCTGGACTAGATGGCCCTTTGGTCTGATCCAACGTGGCTTTTCTGATGTGTTCACACAGGGCTCTGTAGTAAAGCAGAGAAACAAGAGGGGTGAATCCCAAAGATGTTCTAGTGGTAGGGGAACCTGATTAAATGGGAACCTCTGAAGTCATTTCTGAAAATAACTAAAGGGCTCCAAGACGGCGGTAGCACTTTTGGTCAGCATACTGGTAAACCTGGTGTGGAAGTGGAGCTCCATTCAGAAGATACTAGATCTGCTATCATAAGGAACCGCTGCCTGGGGGATTCTTTTCCCCATATTGCACCAGTGGGGTTGACCCTTCTTGCTTCTGCAGCATAAGGAGTGGCAGTGGCTTCTGCTATCCTATGAAAGAGCCCTAAACTAACCACCATAGAACAATTCATTGCTTCTCAAAATCTTGTTCGAGCTTAGCAACTTCCTTCAGCACTCATGAACTTCAGCTTCCTCTCTAGCTTTTGTACAACTTAAGTGCACATTAGAATGGAGAGGACACATGGAATCAAGGTCCCATCCTGCATCCTTGCTTAGTTTCCTAGGAGCCTTCTTAACCAAGAGTATCTTCCGAGCCAGTGCAAATGAATGCAAACAAGTTTAATGTATTACAGGAAGAGATGGCTCTATCCTGAGATGCCAGGCAGAGACACCAGGCTTTGTCATGCTACTGATCATGCTTGAAAAGTAGCAGCATAAAATATCACCAGTGTCTCTGCAGTTTAAATTATGTGATAGAATCAGTAAACGTTCTTTGCAGACTGAAAGCATTTTGGTCTGATATGAGGAGCTAGTCACAGTAAGCAGAATAGAGTTGAATACAAGGTCCAGTAGACTGAGGCCCCTCTTGTGTGTTTCTCATTGATCAAGCAGATGAGGAGGAGGAGAAGGGAGAGCTTTGTACTGCAGATTCTCCTTCTCTCCTTGTCTAACTTCTAGACCTTCCCGAGGAAACTTTTAATTCATAGCTGTGATGCTTATTGTTACAAAGGTTGATTGCAAAAGGCATCCATAACTCTTCCATCTTGAGTGATTACTGGCCACAGTCTTTTCCTCAGATAAGATTTCTGAGATGTTTAGGTCTGAGCATCCAAGCATTGCCCTTCCTTTTCACCTCTTCAAGTGAGTGAGTGTTCTTGATTTTACTTCCCCAAACTGCCTTGAAATAGAACATAATGAACCAACAAGGCTGTCTCATTCAACCTGATCATCAGACTACACATTCCAGAGAAGTCCAATCAATAACTCCAGTCTAAATTGCTTAGGTGAAGCTAGTGAATTCCTAAGTAATGTTGTAAGGGTCCCATCCTTAGCTGAGGAATGGCTGGCTTGGGAATGCAAGTTTTTTTCCTGTCTATACATGGGTAGAATCACATCTACATAAGCTTTCTTTTTAGAGGTGGCATGTAACTTACCTGTTCAGCATGTATAAAAATGAATTATTCATTGGAAACCCAGATTATGCTAACTTAGTCATTTAATTCCCTACTCCACAGTGTCTTCAACGCCAACAGTTTGCGTTCAAAAAGAATGCCATTGGTCACAATGGTATGATGGGAATCAACCTGGATCTGGAATTGATGATGGAGATTTTGAGACTTTTGATCATCTAAGAGCTGAAGGTTATGCAGTCTGCAAGGCTCCAGAGGCTGTTGAATGCAGAGCAGAGAAGTTCCCCAATACTACATTGAATGAACTAGGCCAAAAAGTAGAATGCAGTGAAAGAGTGGGATTACTGTGTTACAACAAGGACCAGCATCCAATGAACTGCCATAATTATCAAATCAAAATCCTATGTTGTAGCTTCGTACCATGTTATTCTACTGCATCCACACCCAAATTTACTACAGCATCTCTAACTTCTACAAGCATTACAACACCAACTTCCACACTGTCTACTATGGTTCCGACCAGAAGTACACTTACAGCAACAACTGGCATCTTAACAACAACCCCAGAGACCACTACTTCATCCACTGGAACAACTGGCAGATCTACATCTCCTACAACAGAAATAACAAGCCAAACTACTTGTAAATCCACATGCAGATGGACTGACTGGTATGATGTGAATTTTCCCACATTGGATAATAACGGGGATTTTGAAACATATGACGTCATTAGGGCTGCAGGGAAAGGTATATGCCAGAAACCTGAAGATATAAAATGCAGGGCAGAGAAATTCCCTGAGAAAGCTATAAATGAAATTGGTCAAACTGTTCAGTGCAACGTATCATTTGGTTTTGTCTGCAGAAATGAAGATCAGTCAGGAATACTGCAAATGTGTTATAATTATCAAATCAAAGTTTATTGCTGTGAAACTGATTGCTTGACTACTACTGCAGAAACTACAGCTTCAGGCACAACTGTTTCAGCAACTTCTTCTACTACTGAATTTTCAACCACAATTACTATCCCCACAACTTCCACTACAACTCCAGAAACTACAACATTCACAACCACTGCTTCTACTACAGAATTTACAACCACGACTGCTATCCCCACAACTTCCACTACAACTCCAGAAACTACATTTACAACCTCTCCTACTACAGAATTTACAACCACGACTGCTATCCCCACAACTTCCACTACAACTCCAGAAACTACATTCACAACCGCTGCTTCTACTACAGAATTTACAACCATGACTGCTATCCCCACAACTTCCACTACAACTCCAGAAACTACATTTACAACCTCTCCTACTACAGAATTTACAACCATGACTACTATCCCCACAACTTCCACTACAACTCCAGAAACTACAACATTAACAACCTCTCCTACTACAGAATTTACAACCACGACTACTATCCCCACAACTTCCACTACAACTCCAGAAACTACAACATTAACAACCTCTCCTACTACAGAATTTACAACCACGACTGCTATCCCCACAACTTCCACTACAACTCCAGAAACTACAACATTAACAACCTCTCCTACTACAGAATTTACAACCACGACTGCTATCCCCACAACTTCCACTGCAACTCCAGAAACTACAACATTAACAACCTCTCCTACTACAGAATTTACAACCACGACTGCTATCCCCACAACTTCCACTACAACTCCAGAAACTACATTTACAACCTCTCCTACTATAGAATTTACAACCACAACTGCTATCCCCACAACTTCCACTGCAACTCCAGAAACTACAACATTAACAACCTCTCCTACTACAGAATTTACAACCACAACTGCTATCCCCAC